AAGCCTTAAACTTATGAAATAAATTTTATTTTTAGGTTAAGTAATGCTTTTTAAGATAAATTTATTCTTCTAGATTTTTATACCAAACAGTCTGGATAACAAGAAAGGGGAGTAAACAGTAGCTTATGTCAAGAAGTTGAACAGTAAATAATATAAAACAAAAATGCTTTTATGCTGTTTCCATAGCTCCAGAAGGCAGAGCCAAACAACGGCGATTATAAAGAGGCAAAAGAAAGATGCCTTTTATTAAATAAATCAAGCAAGCAAGCAGGGACAGTGACTTAATTATCAATAGAAATGATGTCTGAAGGTCAGAGAATAGACTAGATTAAAGGTTCTCAACAATTTTTCTGCTCCAACCTAAAGGAGACAACACACTCCCATCAGAAACAGTGGTTTATGATGGCAACGAAACACAAACAGTGGGAGCTAGAACAGTGAGCACGTGTGGAATGGGGTGGTGAGGAGAGTGGTAAATGCCTATCCAATTCCTGGTTGAGAAACACCTAGCAAGGTACTCGAAAGCCTTTTTAAATTCTGTGATTACTTGTTTTTTAGTTTAGAGGTTTTTCTTTGTTTTTTTGTTTTGTTTTGTTTTGGTTTTTTTTTTTTTGAGACAGAGTATCACTCTATTGCATGGGCTAGAGTGTAGTGGCTTCATCAGAGCTCACAGCAACCTCAAATTCATGGGCTCAAGCGATCCTCCTGCCTCAGCCTCCCGAGTAGCTGAGACTACAGGCATGCACCGCTACACCAGGCTAGACCTAGGGGTTTTAAAAGAAGGATCCCAGTAAACTTCTTGGTGGCATTTCTTAAATGAGAAGAGTATTTTCCATATATTTATCTATGGTTGTAGCTGTACCAGCTACTGAAACCAATGGAAAGTAGAAAATACAAAGGCTGATATTACATCTATGCTCCCCTTATCTAACCACATCATGCCTGAACCAAGCAAATAGTGCCTTTCAGCTTCTTCTACCATTTTCCTGAATTTCTAATCCACTAACTTGTCCTCTGTCCCTTCTGTGAAAATGTTTCTATTTGCTGAATTGACAAGCAATAGGAGAGCAATTCTAATCTGACTCAACCAAAACAAAACAATTTAGATTTGGTAAAAATGCACTTTAAGCATTTGCATCCTTTTCCCTTCTGCATATTAATCACCTCAAATGTCACAGATTTACTCTCTGCCTACATAACATAATACCATTTTGTGGATATTTTCCTCAGAATTTCTAAGAATTCTGCTAATGCAAATGGCAAGTGAATGGCTGTTATCATGAAGACAAAGGGCCTTCTATGGTATATTTTACCAGTGGATCGGGCATTAAATTCATGTTTTGGGAATATTCTTCTCTGAAGTCTAATATCTGAACAATTGTTTATTGTTCTTATGTACTCTAAAATCAGCTTACCAATTCTTTACAAAAATTTGGTTCTGAATTAAATGTGGGTACACATTTGAAAACTGCATACTGTGTATGAATAGTACACACTTATTTTACATTTTAAACATCATGTACAAGCTGTGGGAACATCTGGTGTTTTGCAAATTTGGGCAAATCCAGCTGCATTTCCTCTTCTAAATGTGTCCTCTGACATGTGCAGGTTGTGTTTCATTTTGATTTTTATACTATTTCTCTCTCTCTCTCTCTCTCTCTCTATACATATATATATTTATATAGTATACCATTGTGTGGTTCAAACATGCCATTTATCTAACCTTTATACTTTTCTTCTCTAAACATAAAATTAAAAGCTTGCTGATTAATAAAATGAGGAAAAATATTGTGGCTAAACAAAAGATGTAAAGTTAATTTTAAATGTATCTGTCTCACCTCCCTATAACCTACCTGACTCAGTAGAAAACAACCTCCTGAGAACAGTTTACAGTAAAGAAATATCTATGCTTGGATTATACCATCTGAGCTAAGAGAGAGCAATGCAATAAGGGAATCTTTACTGGAACAGTTGTGCATCTCTTAATTGGACAAATACACACATAGGTGGACAAACAGCTGTGCCACACATTTTCAGATGACTGGTGGACATCTCGAACATGTAAGATTAAGGAACTAAAGTAATGAGAATGTGCTATGACTTAAAATCATTTCTCTTAAAACATCATGAATAACAGCTAAAACTCCAAGTGAACTCTATCTCCTACTCTTAAGTTTAATCATGAATAAATAATTGCTGCTGGAAAGTCTAAAGTGTCTGTCCACCTCCATACGCAGACTCACAATTAGCACACAGCCTTGGCTGACCTTGGCAGCCTTCCTGCCCCCACATAAAATATTTAAAGCCACCTTCGGCCTGAGGGTGGGAGTGGGAGACTGCCTTAGCAGGAGGGCTCCACTTCCTTCCTGGCTGATCTGTTTGCTTGTCTGGCCCCTTCGGCTGGTTCACTGTCCTGGATCCAGCCATTCTCCCGGATTTCAACTCCCCACTGGGGTCAGTCCCTTTCTGGACATCACTGGGTTTCTGCCGGGCCTTTCTCATTTAGACTTGGCCCTGCTCTGGACACATCCCAGGATAGGCTGTTCCTCTTGGACTGAAAACGCTTGGGGCTCTCTGCTCTCACAGCTCTTCCCGCAATTTCTAGAATGGCTCCAGCTCCCTGGGCTCTAGCTGCTTGTTCTATGACTTCCTAGAGGTAGTAGAGTTCAGTGGTTAAAAGAAAATACCACAGAATAAGTCTCCTTGAGTGCAAACTGTGGCTTCTCTATTACCAACTTAACTTTGCTGCATCTCAGTTTCCCGGTCTGTAAAATGGGGTAATAATATTATCTACCTCACAGATGACTCAGCCACGGCCTCTGCCTCAAAGAGGCAGAAGCCTATCAGAGATTCCTAAGGCTAAACCACACAGCTGATAAGCGGTAGGTTCAGAGTTCAAAGCCAGGTTTATATTTCTCCAAACATTCTCTTTTCAAATGTATTATGCTATTTTCCTTTAAAATTATCCTTATTTTCCCCCTCAAAAGCAACAAAGATGATTATCTCCTTTTTTATAGAAGTAGTTGTAAAATTTAAAACCAAGTTATTAAATAAATTACTTGGGCTGCAATAATAAGAAAATAAAGAAGGCCTTGGTTATCCACAGCTACTGATCTAGTGATTTGGCTAAAACTAGCATTCTTCACAGATGTTTGAATCTCTGCCTGCGCCAACCTCCAAATGAATGATTGCAATTCTTAGCCTTTACATTGTATTTCCAGGATAATATTAACTATAACAAAGATATTTGGGACAGAGTACTGGGCAGATTTACTGACTTGGGGGAAAGAGAAGGCAACAGCAAAGATGGGCAAGAGAAGATAAAAAAGGGTTCTCCAAAGGCAATAGTGTTCAGCAGCTGAGACCAGAAGCTGGGAAGTTTTCTAGAAGAGATAATGCCCAAAGTCCAAGCAGTGAGAAATTTACTCTGTTCAGCAGTAATATCTGGGTGAGAGGCAAGGAAGGGGAGGCGAACCCACATTATCTATTCTGAGTGAGACCACACATCACCGAAGGATGGAGACCAGGCATTAGGATGCAGTCAGAGAGCTCGGACTGGGACATGGAGGAAACGGTAGAAAATGTTGACATGTATACCCAGGCATAATTCCATCACTGACTTATACACTGCGTGATATTCATGTGAAATTTTTTAAGGATTCAATTTAGCCACAGGTCATTTGTTAGTCTGGGTTCTGAATGCAGGTAATCTCGGCTGGGCACTGGAGCTTCTTTACATTTGGCAATTGGAAAGAAGAGGAAAGCGCATTTACTATAAAATGACATATAATGAGAACTATAACATGCACAAAATGTGCATGTAAATGTATATCTACATTATTTTAATTTAGAATAGTTGTACATCTATAATAGAGGAAAATGATTTCCCAATTAAAACACTTCATACTTAGCAAAAAAAAAAAAAAAAAGCCAACATGTAATTATTTTCCATTTCAAGAAAGGAAATAAAAACAAAATCTGCAAAATGTACAAGCAATTTTCATTACTTCTAAAGCACTCAATCCACTTTAAACTATTTTTTTGGTTACCTTGTTCACAGCTTTTGGAGAAAATGTAATTGCATCTACCACAGTGATGAGGTCACCCAGGTGGAGGCGATCAAAGTACTTCATGCAGACATCATAGGCCTGAAGCCACTCCGATGAGGACTCTGGGACTTGTTTAATGAGGTGAGGGTCTCCAGTCCAGAACAACTTCTGTAACCAGACGGTGTACAGAGAGCTTGGGGACAGCATCTGTCCATCCTTTTCAGGGATTTTGGGAACAAGTTTGGAAATAGATAAGATATTTTGACTTGAAAGGACTGGCTCCAGTGCTTCAAGAGGGCTCATGTTTTCATCTGTCAGCTTTTTGTAATTAAGACCTACCAGAAAGAGAAGAAAAAAGAAAGTAGGTAAGCAGTTCATACCAGTATAAACTTACAGGAGCTTTCTAACACGCACACTGCCTTCTGTATGGCTGAACAAAAAGATCCATCAATTTAGCCATAGTAGGTCTAGATTTTCAGTTAAATAGATCCATAGATTTGAGTTCTAGACCCAGCCTTAAACATAATCAGCAGCGTGATCCTAGACAAGTGACTCAACTTGTGTGCCTCAGTTTCCTCATTTGTATACTGGGGATGGAAATGTATCCATGTCCCGTCAATTCCCCACGGCACCTATGTTTTTTCCTTTTGTGCATTCACCAAACTACATTATACTCATTTGTTATTTATCTGGCATTTCAGGAGTTACTTGAAGGCAAGAATTGAATCTTCTTCCTTATCCTCTGTGTCTGGGCCAGTGCCAAATTTGATTACTCGGTAAACAACTGATAAATTGAAGTAACTTCTCACAATTGTTATAAATTTCAAATAAATATAGATTTGAATGTGCCTTGTAAATTATAAAGCATCATACAGATTTAAAATATATTAAGGTATTTAATTTCTTAGTTATGAGCATAAAGACACCATTCTAAAGATTTCCATGATTTATCAAAGATTCAAAAGCTCTTATTTTAAGTGTTCCATGCATATTTTAAACATATAGGCTCTAATGAAGAGAAATTCTGCCGAATTGCCTATTGTAAAGTGTCTCAGCCTTATCATTTATATATACTGAATATGAAATATAACCAATAGGAGTAGGGAAAAAAGTCCCTGGAGCAGTAGTCTAAAACTCTGGATTTTAGTACCAAGTCTACCATAAGTCACTATATGACTTTCAATAGGTTTCTTCCTTTTTTTTGGTATTTGATTTCCTCAAATCAAAGTGAAGGACTTGGAAAGATAATAACTAAGGTTGATTAGCTTGATTAGCTTCCAAATTCTGTGGTTTCAGAGCTCTGCCAATCATAATGCATGGACAGGATCGTATATAGAAAATGAATCCTTAGATTTAATTTAAAAGAGTGAATTGAAGCAAAGAAAGACTCATCCTACCTGATGCAACTACCTTAAATTTCTTCAGCAGCCGAATGTGGGTTTCTGGTTTAATAGAGTATTTCCCAAAATCTGCACAGCCACAGTTTTCCAGAAGAGTGAAATAATACAGCAGCCTTTCGTGATCAAAGCCACCAATAGTCGGGTAAATGTACTTGACCATGTGCTTGTGAAAGGCTTCAGGATCAGTCTTCAAAGTCTCAAAGAGATGAAGGGCTTGGGCTCGATTTTCAATTTCTCCTGTGGACAAACTGAAATTAAGAGCCAAAGAAACCATGTTAAGATATGGTTCCATTCTTACCATTTGTCTCTTGTGAAGAAATGGAAAAAAAAAAAAAGATTTGGTTCCTTTATTAAACAAAATGATTTTTTTTTTTAAACTCAGGAAGACATGCTACTACTTATAGGTCCCTCTTCCTACCTAATCAAAGGCAGTAAACCACCAGGACCCAGTCCGCTTGCATAAAGGGAAACAAACATATGTTAGATGCCTATGGTTGCACTACACAATTTTTATGTTACCTCACGTAGGACCACATCCCATGAGGTAGGTATTACTTCACATTCCTGCAGCTGGGAGAATTGTTCGATGATTCCTAGCTAGGAAATAAACCCAGCTCTATCGACTTCCACTATGAATCATTCATTCACAGCACAAGAAAAATTTAAAATCTCTGCTTCTTTACAGAAATGTAAATAGCCGTATTATTTCAGGAATCCAGGAAACGGTGAAAAGAAAAAATTCAAACTTTTGCGTAAGTTTTATATCCAAGAGTCTTGAATTGATATTCCATAAATCAAATTTTATACTGTGTTGAAATAAAATTAAAATAGGAAAGAAGAGATAATTGTACTTTCACTTGAATTATCTGTAGCAATGCAACTTGAATAAAACACGTATCTTAATATTTTCATTTTCATCCTATCTTAGATACCTTTGTAATATAATACAATAGTCATTTAACGTTAATGTTGGGGAAAAAATTAACACATTTTTGTTTGGTTGATCGGTTTGTGTTTTTTTGAAGGGGGAAGGAAGGAGTTACTTTTGGTCTGGTACTTCTCCCTGGCAAGTGCCCCTGGTCTGGTGTAGTCTCATTCTTCTGTACAGGATGAGTTTCCTATTCTCTAATTTTGAGAGTCCTTGAGGCAGCCCTCCACACTAATAGAAATGCCCAGTTTCTAGAGTTCTCAGAGGCAGCAATGGAAGCATCTGGAGGCAGTGAGTGAGACCTCCAGCAGCATCAAAGTTAGCTTTCAAGTAGTTTTAAAACAACTCCTCTGAAACATGATATCCTGTTTATTAAAATTACCACTTCTAGAAAGTGCCAACAGACATATGTTTTTGGTTTATGTAGATAAAGTTGATATCAATTGTATTTTAAAACTTTTATGAGAGTGTGATGATACGTGGGATAACAGGGGCAATCTATAAAGTCAAAATATCAAGTAATTTTAAAAATTGGTCTTTTTACTTTTGCTTCAAGAGAAATCTTATTTTTCCATTAAGACATAGTTCAAAAATTTACAAAAATATCTCTATCTATAAATATGTCTCCAGTCTATAAAAGTTTCCCTGGCTGCCTCCTTTGTGCTATTGGCACATGCGGAATATCCTTCTAGTATGGTACTCATAATGTATTTTTACTATTTATTACCTTGACTGTTTCCCTCACTAGACTGCGTGCTGTTTGAAGGCATAGATCATTATTACATCTTCTTTATCTTTAGTTTTTTGACAGCAAGGACCAGTGTGTGATACAAAGGAAATATTCAATACGTATCTTCCGAACACTAAGCAGATTGGGGGGGTGAGCAAACCATGAGGTGTCTTCTATGTGCAAGGCACTGTGCTCAGCACAGGGGAGGATACCCAGATCCACAGCATAGAGCTCTCATTTAGGTGTGAAAATCTAGTCGAGTTATAAACACTTAAATAATGATGCAAAACAACGGTATTGGCTGACAAAGGGCACACAATTATAGTCCAATTAAG